TGCCCCCGACTAAGGCTGATCGTTCAAAGTCACAGGGGCAAGTGCTTCGTGCTGCCAACGCCTCGTCTATAGCAACGTATGGGCTCCGATCTCTCACCCTCGACTTCGGCCTTCGCTGCATTTTCCGGTGGGTTTTCGTCATCGCAGACGTGGTTCAACCGATAATCGGCTCGGACTTCCTCTCATACTTCGATTTGGACGTCAGCGTGCGGCGGCGCCGCCTCATAGATGGTAAGACTCGTCTCTCCATCTCGGGAGTCCTGTCCGACATCGCTCCAATGGCCATCCGCATGCTGATACCTTCCTCACCGTTCGAAAAAATCTTGGCGAGTTTCCCGGAGTTAACTAAACCGTGCAACCTCACTCAGCCGCCTAAACATACGGTGACACACCACATCGTCACCCGGGGTCCACCGGCAGCCGCTCGACCACGCCGCCTGTGCGGAGACCGCCTAGCTATTGCTAAACGGAGTTTGACCACATGCTGCAGCTCGGCATTATCCGCCCGTCGTCAAGCGCTTGGGCTTCCCGCTGCATTTGGTGCCAAAGCGTGATCCTGGTGACTGGCGTCCTTGTGGGAACTATCGAGCGTTGAACGCCAAGACTGTCCACGACAGCTATCCTCTACCTCACATCCAGGATTTTTCATCGCGCCTCGACGGCTGCACAATTTTCAGCAAAGTGGACCTTGTTAAGGCGTACCACCAGATTCCTGTCGAGCCCGCCGACATACCTAAGACCGCCATCACGACGCCCTTTGGGTTGTTTGAATACGTGCGGATGCCTTTTGGACTCCGCAATTCGGCTCAAACTTTCCAGCGGTTCATTTCTGAGGTCACACGGGGTCTTCCTACTGTGTTTGCGTACCTTGACGATGTCCTCATCGCCAGCCGGCACACCTGAAGATCATGAGCACCATCTACGTGCTCTGTTCCAACGTCTTCAGCAGTACGGCCTCGGTTGTGAACGCCTCTAAGTGTACTTTCGGCGCATCTGAGCTCGAGTTCTTGGAAGCCAACCAGCGAAGAAATGCAGGTACGAGCAACAGACCCAGCAGCGCCATGAAAGTGGCTCGCTAGAGACCACCGGCAAAACCCATGTCCATCACAACATGCCACGGGCACCAAGCTTGTGGGCCACTCTGCCGAAGCTTCAAGTGCCTGTCTTAAGCAGCGAGAACCGTTAGGGGCAGATGTTTTAATAGCGTTGCGAGGTGACCATCCACACGTACATCTATCTCACTGGTAAGAAGTTCAAGTACTTTGAAGAGGCACTTAGCCGGTGCTGCGAAGCGGGCCATTGAAGGAATACGTCACGCAGACGCCACTTACAACGTGCTCCAGAGAGACTTCGCCGAAAAGATCTTCTCATCGATAACAACATAGGCAGCCTCCTTGCCATCGAGCCAATCGAAACATCATCGTGACTATCAACTCAGCAAAACTTGTACGAGCAAATACAATTCCTGACCAGCCGTTTGGAGAGCCTTGGTATGCCGTCCTCAGAAAACGTGGTTCTCCTGCACCGGGTGCTGATGCACTTATTACTGGAGGAACTGGCAATCCAATATTAAAAGCGCAGCAAAACTAACACAAAAGTAGCGAACTCTGTAATACCATCAATAGATGAGCAAGTGAAAGCAATCTTGAAGTTTCTTCAAGTGGAAGCAGAAAGTAGAGATGAGAGCCGAGCGTCAAGTGAGCAAACTGCTTCAGGGAGAGCATCAACTAACCGTGACGGTGCAAAAATCATGACACCGCATCATCTGCCGTGCGCCTTAATGGCACTGACACCACGCTCATCGTTGCCAGGTGCCAATTCGAGATCTGAAAAGACCACGTGTTTCCTCTGCAGCATCTCAAGACAAGTATCACGTGATGGCAAGCCACGAAATCAGAGGAGGAGGGACGCAGGCGTCTGTGAAGATAGAACTTCTGATCCACTTCCACGAGCCTCTTCCGCTTGTTGTGCAGAACTTGTGGAAGAAGACGACATTAGAACTTGCCCCTCTGTCTGACTTCTGCATAGCACGTTGCCACTTATTGGCGTCTCAAGATCATCGAGGCATGACAGCGTTAAAGCCCAATGACATAAAATGGCGAGCACATGTAAGATACACAGCCACTGACAGGATCACAGCTCCTAACCGATAAACGCGTTCAGGGGTACCAGGAAGATCTCGCAGCTGTTGACCTGGGTCCACCATGCATGACTCGCGAGCCTAGGGGAAGTGCAAGCCGCTTTTTTTATTGTGGAAACGAGTGAACAAGGAATATTTGTTTGCCCTGCGTTTCACTCATCCATTCCAGGCGTCATTATTGTGTCACCTTCGCTTTGGTGACAACAACGACAACGTTTCAGCTCTAGAAGCGAAGCTCGGCAGTGTGGTGGGCACGTTCTAAGCAGGGATGGCGTCGACATGAGTGTTGAACTCGTCTACTCATACTGTTACAACGCATGACACTAACTTAACGAAACACATGTGGCACGTCATTCATTCCACAACAGCATGAAATTAGGCGAACCCAAGTTCCTGCGCAGCGCGAGCGTCACGAGACGGCCAAGCAGCGCTCCCTGCTGGTCATGATGATCGTGGTCTCCGATGCACAACATACGGCCATGTATTCTGGCCAAGCGTCCGGCACACGGCAAATCGGCATCGGCTGTGCCTACTGGACGCACAGAGTTTCCTACAGTAATACCTAGAGGACAATCTGGATTTGGCGCTAGCGTCTACGCGGACATTTAGGGGCGAAACTCCTTATAGCGGCACCCGTTCGTCCTTCGTAGTCTGTAACAAGTATAACATTTTCACCTCCAAGGTGGTGCCGGTGAGAGACTTCTTCTGTGCGTTGTTGAACAATAAAAAATAGTGCTCAATGTACATTTCAGTGGCTGCTAATGGGGAATGAGAGACAGCAGCATTCGGCTTTTAGTTAACGCGCAGGCTGCGATCACCATTAGCAGCCATTGGCATGTACATTGAGCACTATCTGACAAGAAAGGGTTGCTACGTTATACTCGCTGGGTGTAACCTCCTTAGCTTTAGAAAGGTTTAGCGAACGTTGAGCCGCAGTGCCATGAATACAATGAACTTGTACATATCATGAATGAACTCGAGGTGGTTAAAAATGGGAAGTAGATACGGAGCGCAAGCCGTAAGAAAGTAAAAGCCGAATTCTCCTGTCTATCATTTCCCATTAGCAGCCATTGACATGTACATTGAGCACTATCTGACAGGAAAAGGTTGCTACGTTATACTCGCTGGGCGTAACCTCCTTGGTTTTAGAAAGGTTTAGCAAGCGTTGGGCCGTAGTGCCATAAATACAGTGAACTAGTATATACCATGAACTCGAGGTGGTTCAAGGTGGGAAGTAGACCCGAAGCGCAAGCCGTAAGAAAGTGTGCGTGTGCCACCTCTCGTTTAGTCCTTGGAATGTCCGCTGAATGGCGGTGCTTCTATATGGGGAATATATGATGAAAAGATGCGAGATGGTGGTACTTGGAGTGTTGAATAGATGGACGAACGGACACATAGACAGATGCATGGATGGACGCATGAACGGACGCAGGGGCGGCTGCATGGGCGAACGCAGGGACGGACGCACGAACAGACGCACGCACGGACGGGCTGTTGGATGCATGGACGGTCACACTGACGGACGCATGGATGGACGGAAGCAAGAACAAATGGACGGAAGAATTCTTCGCCCCACTCTCCATCATTCAGTCCGTGGATATGCTGTCAATTTTTTTAGCGGCACTTGTACCCCTATGGTAATTATGGGAATTACAGGCGTGGGATCCGCTTCGGGTAGAATACGTTCATGAGATTTGCGACACTTCTTTTCCGAGTGTAAAACAAAGTGATATGAGCCTATATTTATTTGAAACTTGCTTCATTTATTTGTACGGAAACTTTATTTCAAAATGTTTTTGAAATGATTTGGCAAAAGTGACGCCAGGGCAAATTTAACCATCAGGGTATGCATTGCTCTGCTATTGCGTTCCAGATTTGGCACCCAAACACTTGAAAACAAGCATGCTTGTTTTTCTCTGGAAACTATGCATTATCTATTTATAGACAGAACAGTACAGTATTAAGTGAGAAGCACCTAACGTTTTGCCTTCTGCGATGCTAGGTGCGTCTGTCCAAGTATTCTGCCCCCAACGCACCTCTGGTTTGTCGCAGAGTCAGTGGAGCATGACGGTGTGCCTACTTAGCCTCGTAATTGTTTTGCAGTTGATTTAAAACGAGTTTAGGCAAGACGCGCTCTTGAAAAAAAAACATGAAATAAATGTGCAATATATTGCGCTGGCATGAGACGCTATATCTCTGCGCAGCGGTGAGTAGACGACGCTTCATTTAAATTGTCAAATACGACTCGTAAAGCTTGAACCTCGCAGCGAATTGGAGACCTAGTGGTCTTAAGCCTCTTTCAACAATTATGGCGCTGCTTAGTGCTTTTCAGCACACCCCAAGCACACCCCACTACCCACGCTGCGCGAAGAACAAATCTGAAACTGGATGAAAAGGTCCATAGACAGTTCGCTAGCTAACCTGATCCAATCCGAAGCCTGTACTTCCCGTAATTCCCAAGGAGGTACATGATTGCAGCGCCAGATTCCTCTCTAAGTATTATTGTATGAAACTCTATGACTGGATGCAAGTGACCGTGCCACAGCTCCGGGAGGAGGTTGAACCTATACCGCGAAAAAACGTAGGCATGCAACGCCATTCTACACAAAAGGCATGCGATAAAGTGTTTACAAAGCGGGGCCACATGTGAGCATGCAATAAAAATAGAACGAATCGTTAAACCAGAGCAACGCGAGTTTCGGTTTCTTCTTCATCACAAGACGGTTTTTTTTATATTCGGTTCTCGTGTGCTCCTCGTGCACTAGAAGCATCAGAGAGCTGAGGCCGCTGGCAACCTCCCCTTTCGCGTGTTTACAGGCGTTGTTGCAGTATTGGCCATTGCAGCAGCTGTGGCGAAACCATGGCGACTCGGGTGTTCGTAGGCCGGCTCAACTACGTCGTTCGCGAACGGGACTTGGAGCACTTTTTCCGGGGCTACGGCCGCGTAGGAGACGTCGTTCTTAAAAATGGCTTCGGATTCGTGAAGATCGCCGACTACCGTGACGCTGAGGATGCCGTGCGCGATCTCAACGGCAAGCGGCTCATGGGCAGGCGAGTCACGGTAGAGCTGGCGAGGGGCATGCGGCGCTGGACTACTGACTACGATAGCGGTTCGCGGCGTTGCGGGCGTCCTACACGCACCGACTACCAGCTGCTCGTGGAGAACTTGAGCAGCAGCGTGGGTCCGCATGACTTGAAAGACTTCATGCGTCAGGCGGGTGAAGTGACGTACACGGAGGCGCACAGTATGCGACGCCACGAGGGAGTCGTCGAGTTCGCCAGCTATTCTGACATGAAGAAGGCACTGAGAAGTCTCGACAATGTAAACTTGCGCGGACGGAGGATCCGTCTTGTGGAGACCAAACGCCTGCAACGCCCCTCGAGCAGATCCAGATCACGCTCGAGGTCGCCGCGACGCTCCAGGTCCAACTCGAGACAGCGCCAGTCTTCTGGTCGCCGCAGGTCTTCGTCCGGCTCAGAACGCGCCTCTGCGCGTCGTCGGTCGCGCTATTCGCCGAGGCGCCCGAGCAGCAGCAGGTCGCGGTCAGACTCCAGGTCGCGACGCCGGACTAACAACAACCGTCGTAGCCGTTCAAAGACACCGCGCTCACCGGCGAAGCGGGCCAGCTCACGATCATCTTCCGGGGAACGTCGAGTAAGTCCCCATCAGAATCGCTCTGGTACCGAAGAACCTGCGCACCAAGCCGACTGCAAAGCCCAAGAGGACATCATTGGTTCCGGTGAAGAAGCCATAAGCTTGCGTTCACCGTCGAGACCCACAGAGTGAAAGAGCAACCATCAGTTCAACATTGCTCCCTTCGCCGATCTTGACCGCGATTCCCTTGGCACCATGTTCGAGTGAGCGAGAAGTACTGCCAGCCTATTTACAAATGAAACTCTAATCATAATTGCAGTCTATTTACACATAGAACCCTAATCATAGTCACTCGTGTGCGAAAGAAAGACTGTCACCGTCTTAAGAGCACGTTTGCATTGGCGTTTCTGGTGTCGTTGTGTGGCAGAGAAAGGCACTGCTCACTGTGGTCTTGTACCTTGGGTTTCGTGGTGAATAAAACAACTTTCACCTAACTGAACAAATGCCTCCACCTCCTGTGAGGGAATCGTGAGCAAATGCGAATGCATTGCGGAGCGTCCATAACGGCGTTTCGCTCGTGAGAACTCAGCGTTAGAAGAAAAATGTTTTCTTTTTCTTTTCTTACACTGTGCAGCCAATAGCACCGTTCGCCGCACGTGACGTTTTTTTTTTTTGTCGCGAGAAACGTGGCATGCGTTTCCAACTCTAGTACCTAGCGTGCACGGCAAAAAAAGAGAAAAAAATGTGGCCACGTATTTGCATGTTACACTGCAAATGTCAGTCGGAAGACTATAGTCTTGCGTCTGGAGAGAGTGAACAAAACGTTTATTCGATGTTCAGCGCAAAAAAAAAATCAATTAACGTTATTCTGCGTTAGAGGGCGTCGAGCGTGCAGCGGATGCGACTGCGAACGGGTCACGTCACACGTGAGACATGAGCGCTATCTGGCAATTATCCTGGAAAACGAAGTACGCGGCGTGTGCGCCCGTCTTGGAGGTGATAAAGTGTGAAACGCAAAGCGATGGGTAGGTGCCGCCACCGTACAGTCTTAGCAAAACGTTGGTAACACTTACCTTTTTGAGCATCGTGTTGCACTGTCAGCGCAGTCTGATATACGCTATGGGCCTTAGAATTACTTATGTGTGCCTTCTTTAGTATGAAGCCACACATAGAAAACATCTACGTATTGTTATGGTGCCTCAAATATGCGCAATATTTGTTTTCAAATTGACAATTGCACAAGTATAAACGCTAAAGTTTGAGCAATTGGTGAGTGCTGCGGATGGGGTCCACCGTTTGGGGTATCGTTTGGTGTTTTTTGGGGTACCATTAATGGCGTACAAACAAACAAATGTACAGACTGACACACCGAAAATTTTGCGTTGAAGGTCCTCAAGAAAGACTATCATCTTAAAAAAAGAATTACAGCATATTCACGGAGTGAATGATGATGGGTGGGGTGAATCGCTGGAGGGTTTCGTCGCTAAACCATGAACCGTCCGAAAATACTGCCCACTACAGCATCACAGACGTGAGAAACTCTGTATATATTATTACAAGAAATTATAATATTCGTATAGCAATAGCTATACGTCCCTTCCGTTCCCCCTTCATTAGTAGTAGTAGTAATAGACTTTTATTCAGCCAAACTTACAGGCCGAGCATTTCGACCGCCTGTGCGATCAGTCGACGCTGTTCTTCTTCCCCTTCGGCGCCGATCCAGTTGAGCCAGGAGGTGATGGAAAGGGATGGGGGAGGGTAATAGCTGGATTGCTGAGCAGTTGGGCAGTAAAACAGGCAGTGTGACAGGTCAGCGTATGGGGAGAGACAATTAGGACAGCAGGGGTTAGACCTATATTTATAAAGGAAAAGGCGAGAGGGGGTTATCAAGCAGTTCATTTGGATGTGCCGTAGAGTTCGAGCCTCGAGCGCCGTGAGTGATGGATGAGGGGGAGGGTAAAGACGCTTGTCGAGCCGGAGCTGGAGATATACCTCCTTGATAGTGTGACGCAAGGAGATCTGCCCATCGTTATTCGCGGAGCTCTCACTGTCTTCCAAAGGTGTGGGCCAGGGAATGAACGGTGCCCGGTGCAATATATCGCGGGCAAGCTGATGAGCTAGCTCATTGCCGTTAATACCCGAATGCCCAGGAACCCAGCGGAGGAAGGCAGTGGAGGGTTGAAGGAGGGTTGTTGAGTTGCGTTTCGGTGAAATGAACGTAGGGTACAAAGTACAAGAACTTGTTAAGGGCAAGCGCATGTGCAACCTGGCACGCATGAGCCTCGTGGAGCCCCGACTGCCGAGTGACAACGCGTCGCAGGAGCTGGGTCACTGAATGGCAAGTCCTCACAGCGTGATGTAGGGCCTGCGCGTTCTTTGTCGCGTGCAAAGGGAAGCCAAGAACTTTGCATTGCTGAACAGTGGGGATGAGAGAGCTAGAAAGATGTAGGGAGATGAGGGTATTGTGGGAGCGCTGGTACGCAGACCGGTTTAGCAAAAGTAGTTCACATTTCTCCGGTGCAGGGGACAGGCCAGCAGTAGCGAGAAAGGAAGCGATAAGGTCCAGGCCACGTTGCAAAGTATCCTGCACGTGGCCGGGACATCCAGACGTACACCAGAGAGTGATGTCGTCTGCATAAAAAATATGGTGGAGGTCAGGTATTTGGGACAGTTGGGAGGTAAGGGGGGCCATAGCCATATTAAATAGAGTAGGAGATAGTACGGCACCTTGAGGAGTGCCGCGGGTGAGGGAGTGTGGGTTAGACAAATGAGTATCGACTCTGAAGCGAGCAACTCGATTGGAAAGAAATGATCGGATGTAAGAACACATGCGGGAGCCACATGACAGGGAGGAGAGCTGAGCGAGTATGTGGTCATGACTCACGCCATCGAATGCCTTCCGTACATCGACGGTTACAAGCGCATGGATCTGACTACGAGAAGGTGAAAGAAAAGTATGCTGAAGAACAAAGAACATGTCCTGCGCACAAACGTGGCGTCGAAAGCCAATAAGAGAAGGAGGGAAAAACTCTTTCGCCTCAATAAAATCAGACAGTCGAGTCAAGGCCATTCGTTCAAGAGTCTTGCCAACGCATGACGTCAAAGAGATAGGGCGAAGTTAGAGAGAGATGGAGGTTTGCCGGGCTTCGGAATCATGCAAATTAGAGATGATGTCGAAGAGCTTGGAAGACAGCCGCTGTTCCATGCTTCGTTGAATGTGTGTAAGAGAAATTCCTTCGCGTTGTCGGGGAGATTACGTAATGTAGTATATGTTATCTCATCCTCACCGGGTGCCGAGCGGGTAGATTGAGTGGCTAAGGCAGCTTCCAGCTCCCTGAGCGTGAATGGGCGGTCCAGGTCTGGATTAGCTTCGCCACAGTAATCTGGGTAGGAAGGTGTGAGGGGGGGTGGGAGATACAGAGATTTTAAATTTTCAAACACATCAGATGGAGTCCCTTGAGTGAGAGCTTTAGCTAGGGTGGGAGCAACGGCAGGCTTGGTACCTAAGAGAGACCTAAATAGAGACCATGTAGAGCGCGAGTGCAGTGCGGAGTCAAGGCCGTCACACAGCGTGTTCCAACGAGAGTGCTCGAGAGAAGTGCCGTAAGCGATAATTTCAGCCCGCAGAGCATCAATTCGGAAGGAAAGTTGGAAGTTGTGTGGCTGCGAGCGGAGAGCGCGTTTCAAACGTTTATGACGTCGCCATAATCGGAGGAAGTGAGGATCAGGGTCAGGAATGGGGAGTTGAAAACGAGCGCGGCGACTACAGGATGTCATTGCTGCGGAGATCCGCGACGTCCAGTCGTCGTAAGTTTTAAATGAGTGAGACAAAAGGTTATTACGGAATGCTTCCCAGTCAGTGTGAGCGACTCGTTGTTTCCGCCTATTGTGGGAAAGAGGGGTGGTGATGTGTATGAGAAAGTGATCACTGAAAAAATTTTCAGCAGAGACCTGCCAGTGAAAAGGAAGGGAACTCCGAGAGAACGTGAGATCGGGTGTAGTGGAACGCTGTGAAACAGTGCCCGCTCGAGTAGGGGTGTCAGGAGTATTAAGAAGGGTGAGATGGCGTTCCTGGGCGAGGCAGTGTAGAAGGCGACCTGGTTTGAGTGTTTGGGGGTAACCCCAGAGCCTATGAGGAGCATTAAAGTCACCCCCAAGGAGGATATGGGAGGTCGATGGAAGGGAGTGCAGGAATTTGCCAAGAGCACTAAACAAAGAGGACATGACAGGGGGGTTATAAAATGACATCAGAGCGAGAGAAATACGGGTAGATGGTTGGTAATAGACCACACCAACTAAATGTTTCAGGAGGGGGGAGGGTACGTCTAGTGGTTCAACGAGAACGTCATTGCGTACATAAATGGACGCAAGTGGCTTTCCCGTCGTAGCGTGATATGCACGGTAGCCTGGGACGGCAAGGGCCGCCCGAGTCTCCTGTATAAGGAGAAAATGGGGTAATGTTTGGCGGGTGAGAAGATATTGGTGGAGAGGGGTCCTATTATGACGAAAGTTGCGGCAGTTCTACTGCAAAATATCGAGGTCCTTTTCACGCGCCATCTAGGTCTTTGGAGTAGAGGAAGCGCCTACGCGTGCGCGTTCCTTCTTTTTTGCCGGGGGAAGTGACTCCTGCAGGGAGTTAAGCATATAGGTGAAAGATTCCAGTTGCTTAGATTGGGTTTCGAGGCTCGTAAGAATGCGGACAATTGAATTTTCCAGCTGGACCAAACGAGTGTGAGGCGCAGTGGTGGTGGTTTCGACCATGTCGGCCAATTTGGTTACATGGGAGCTGGAGGTCGGGGCGGTGAGTGTGGTGAGTTGCTCATTTAGCTCCGTGAGTTGAGAGGTAAGAGAGGATGTGGTAGTTGCGAGTGTCTGTGTCAGTGCAAGTATTTTCTGTTGTAGCTCATCTGAGACGCGTTGTTGCTCGTGCTGGTTGCGCTCCAACATAGCCAGTCGCAGATCGAAGGAGCGGCTCTCGTTACTTGAAGATGGTGAAGGTGTGTTTGATGAAGAAGTGCACATGGGAGGTGTTCCCTTAACCTTAGCGGCGTATGAGCCCGGGGGGATGTTGCGGGAGGTGATAGGAGCTCATGCGCTGAAGAGGAGGGCGGCGAAGGCTGAGTGGCTCGGCGCATGGCTGTGCGACGGAGAAAAGCTGCTTTGGCGCAGTCGCGTTGCTTAGCTAGAAGGTA